AAGTCGCCTTATTAGGATGTATTTTGAGCAAACATAAGAACAGATTATTCCAAAAGGGAACGTTCTCGAAAACTGTATTGACACTAATGGATATATTTCAAAATTTGAGAATACGATTCAAATACTTCCGTTACGTTTCAAGACCGAATGTTCATTAGTAGTTGATTATTCAACCCTGTTTGATTGTCTCGGATAACACATCCTGGATATTTTTATCTGAATACGTTGATGTAATGACACGCATAATAAAAATAACTTCTCTAAAACACCTGGATATAATCAAGTTCTTACGCAACACCGTTTCCTTGAATCCCACAGTCGCGTGGCGGTCAGCCAAGAATTAACCAAGCGGGCCTTCGCAACGTGTCTCAAGCGACTACGACCGCGCTCCCTAGCGACCGCAAGCGGAGCGCCTAGCGGGCGCCTGCCATCGTCAAGTGCGTGCCGCCTCCGCGGGGCGGGGGGTGCGTGGCGCGGAGGGTGGGGCGAGGCGGCGGGGCGCCGTGTTATCCTAACGATAATCGCGTTGCGGGCTCCGCGCGGGCGCGCGCGCGCTCAGCGCCGCCGCCAACGCAATTAGAATCCATTCTTAACTTCGTCAGCTCAGGCAGCTCGCCGGCCCGCCTGCGCCGCCAAGGAACGGGGTGAATTGCAAGGCGGGGAGAAGGCGGGGTTAAAGCGAAGAGATGGGAGAAAGAGGAATTCTAGGCAAGAGGAATGTGAGACGAGTTGGCAAAAGCACGTGCTGTTACGTAGTACAAGGTATTTGGAAGATGAGAAATATGAGAGTGGGAAAGAGAGGGATATAGTAAGAACAAAGAACGACGGTTAGGACAGCGGTGACTAGACTCCAACCAGAAAAACGGCTTGGCAAGGAAGAAAGGAAGAGTTAGTGACTGCTAGAATATTAGAGCGATGCTGTCGTACAAGACTTGGGAAAGCACCTGGAAATAAAATGAGACTGTGAGTGAAGAGGAGCGGGGCTTTGAAGAGACTTAACGAGGTGGGTATTTGGCAAGGCGGGTTTATAGTGAGGGGGAAATATAGTAATGTAGGGATATGGTAGAGCGGGCATGCGGACAGATGTAAAGACCATATGCAGTGAGACTGGGGAGAAAGGTGGATGGTGCAAAAATGTTAAGTGCATGGGAAGGTATGAATGTGTAACCCGATAAGAGAAAAGAAGACTTAATGCGAAAAGGAAACCAGGCACAGAGAGAGAGAGAGAGAGAGAGAGAGAGAGAGAGAGAGAGAGAGAGAGAGAGAGAGAGAGAGAGAAATGGAGAACGAGCTAGGAGAATAGAAAGCGCAGTCAAGGGGGGGGGAAGGGAAAGGCCGTGGGGGCCCGGGCGAATTACGTACTATGCCTCTGAGAGCATCGGGGCAGGCGTCACGGCGATGACTTAGCGCGTGCCAGGCACCCCCCTCCCAGGATGCAGGCAGGGATGTACACGTGGTGGGAGGGGGGAGGTGGTGTTTGTGCGGGCGAGGGAAACTGGCAGGGGAAGTGGGGGATCATAATCATGACGCGGCGTGCCGATGCGTGGTAAGGCAGAAAAGAGCGGGGACGGACGGAGAGCTTCCGGGGCGGAGTGGTTGTAGGATGGAACGAGTGCACGCGAGCTGAGTCCGAGTGCGAGGGGGCATGCGTTACTGAGCTGACGGAGCGTGCGAGCGGGACGGTGTAGGCGGGGCGGGGCGGGCAGGGCGGGCGGGCGGTTTACGTACGGGACGAATGCGATAGTGTTGCGAGAGTAATGCGGCTGACTTACGCGACGGGACCGCCCGGTGGGGAGCGCCCCGCCCCCCCCCCCCATGGCGGGTGCGGGTGGGGGTGGTGGATGCGGGGCAGGTGCAAGGCTGTTGTGAGTGGGCGGGTGTGAGGTGGCGGGGCAGAACGCGAGCGGTCGGTTGCGGAATTGCGGGGGTCGAAAGCGGGGCAGGGGAGGAATTGTGGCGTGCGGTACACAACGGAGCGGGAAAGGTGCGAGGGCTGGCGGATTCGGATTCAACGCGGGCGAGGCGGGGTGGAAGGGGTCGAGCGGTGCTTGGGCGGGTCCGGGCCAGGGGGTTAGGCGAAGAAGAGGAGGAGTGAGGTGAAGGCGGTGGGGGTACCGGAGCGGGATGTGAACGCGGCAGGCGCAGGAACGGGCAGAGACGGGGTCGAGGCCGGGGCTGCGGGAAGGGGCTCAACGGGGTTACGCTAATTGCGGTGTTGCAAAGGCGGAGCGCCGGAGAGGAGAGCGACCTAGCGCCGATTCTTTCCGTGTTGGTGGCGCGCGCCCTCCGCGTGGGTCGGGTCTCGTTACGAGCGCTTGCGCATCTCGCGGCCCCTTTCACGTGAGGCCGAATGCCCCACGCCCCCTACTCGCTTGCTGCGAAATGCCAGAAACGCGAGTTGGGCTGTTTGGTACGAAGCAAAAATGTGCAAAATAAATGCCTAGAGGAAAGAGAAAACGGCTCTATTTTGAAACAATGTTAAAGATAATGTTCCGCTTGAAAGGTCTGCAATTATGCTTTCCCTTTTATGTAGCTCTCACCATATGAGTTTATCAACAGTAAAATTTTGTACTCACTATAGTGTTCATTTTCGCAAGTAATTATGTAGTTGAAATACAACACAAAATGTTTGTAATCGACGTGAAAGAATTGCCTTCAGTTCCATTTAAATACTTTTATATACCTTTAATTATTAATTCATCGTCATTTTAAAATATTCAACAATTTTGAAGAATATCATATTGATACTAATGCATTTGTAGACGGCAAAAAATTCTTGATGAACTAGAACTGTAATGAAATTTCAATTTTTGAGAATCTTTTAAACGAAGGTAGCTTTTCATTTATGATTATACTTAAATTTATATTCTTACAAAATGCTGATGCATATGAACTCACGCACTCAAAGAAAATGTAACTCATCTTCTTTGGGCAAAAATGCGCCTTTGAGAAAGAAATACCACTTAATAAGAATTTATCTTAGACGTTTGGTGACTTTTGAAATATCGAAATGAAAATGTCGTCGAAATGTAGCAGTTTGTTAATATATTTAATTCACTATAATTGAGCATTTGAGACTTAAGGGTCTGTTATACATTACATTGTACGAATAGTATAATCTATGAACGAATAGGAATATTAAACTGATGTATGAAACTTAAATCCAATGACATCATTCTTAGAAAGAGAGAAACATTATTCAAAAAAACAGGGATGTTTTTAAAGTAAAATGAAAAGCCAACATGATGACACACAACGCAGGAAAAAGAAAACATTTCCTTACCGGATATAAAATCTGAGATCATTTGTACTCCAATGCTAGTCTTAAAATATTGACTAGTTTAATTAATTCTCAATGTAATACAAAGACGAAAGACAATGAAACTTCGAATGATATTGAAAAAATATTCACATTTTTGCATCATTCGGATTGATTATTTACAAAACAGCTATTGAGTTAAACGTATCTGTGTCATTCAGTTGAATTTAAAAAATGAATTTTCTTATTAGTAAATATCACAAATATACAATTCTATGTTAGGGCAGTCGTTGAGATGGTCATTCCACTGCGTCACTATGACAGCAAAGCAGTCTCTAATATGTGACCACAGCCTTGGGAGGGGACACCAAGAACAATCTTCCTTGGAATTATACTCGTATTTTAAAAACTTAAGATTTTGTTGGAAGCCAACCGAAAAAACTAAGCTGTTGGTTAGATAGGCATCTTCGTGGTAGCGACGATTCTATTTATTCCCCCATTTAGACTTCCTGGCGGCCTGTTAACTTCAAACCTAATACAATTTGCTTCATACCGAGCTCTTCATCTGAGTCAATCACAGGCAAATGAGCTAAGTAAGGTATAGCAAGAATCCAATCCATTGCTAGTGAGGAATATGCCATAGCTTTAAATGTTCAATTCTCTAAAGACTTTGGATACAAAAATATCATTGTAAAAAATTTCATATCTTGTTTCTATGGTGTGTTTCGAATGGATTTTCTATGGCTCAGAAGGCTTGAGGTAATTATACAGTGTCACTCACCGGGAGGCCTTAGCGTTGCTGACCCCTAGGTGGTGGGTTTTCTATATTAGCTATTCGTACATAGCTGCGCTGATTACAGCCACTGTCTACAGGAGAATTATAGCCGCCAGATATTCTGACAGATAATTTTACTGGTTTCTCTGATCAAAACCAGGCAAATTCCGGAGCACAACTTTAGATAATAGCGGACCTTTCAACCGTGCGCGATCTTTTATTCTTCCTTGGGACATCTTTTTCCCTTACACACACTTAAACCAACATGTACTACACTATTATACTTGCCACGCGACTAGTTAAAGTTAATAGTTTTGGCTGTGTCCCGCTAGGGTGGGGCGGTGTGCCGCTAGGGAGAGATACCTCCAAGTGGCAGCCAGAAATGTAGATTAGCTCAGTACATACCACTACACCAGCACCTCCGTGGATATATGCACTATATTTACAGAGTAATAATCATCCGTAGACCCACCCGAAAACACATGCAACTACATTGCTAGGTCAAATTCAGCTGCTATCAGCAGGAGAATTCTAGCGAACTGCTGCTCTGATCGACAGGTTTCCGTGATTTCTCCGATCAACATCAGGCGAATGCCGGAGCAGTACCCTAACAAACGGGCCACGGATAGCGCGCAATATTTCATTTCCCTTCCTTGTCCTCTCTTCACTCCTTACTTACACACACATTTACAAGCACTACTTTACCACACATGTCAAGAACCCAGTCGGGAGCTTAGAGCTTGTCCTGGCTGGGATAATGCTCCTCTAATGAGAGATATCTGGTTGGGAAAACCCTGCTAGGTGACAGGTAAATTGCCGCCGGATCTCACCATCCAGCGGGGACAATATCACCGGCACCTCTCGCGATAAAACATGCACTGCACATAAGGGAGTAATGACCTTAGCCTTTGATGCGCCAGTAATAACTAATCAATAAATCAATCAATCAATCAATGCGGTACTCACCTGAGCACGCGCTGGCTGCGGTCGTACTTGACGATCTGGTCCTTGATGTGGATCTTGTGCGAGTTGCGCTGGCGCACGGCGAGCAGGGCGTGCTGGCCGCGCGGCGCGGCGCGCTGCTCCACGCGGTAGTAGCAGGTGAGGTTTCGCGGGTACACGCCCGGGTAGTTGGGGCTCTGCACGCGGCACGCGCGCGAGTCGCAGCGGTCCAGCACGCGGTCGCAGTACGTGCCCGGCACCAGCTCCCCGCGCCACGTGGCCGCCGTGCTGTTGCCGAAGCGCAGTCGCGCCTCGCCGCGCCGCAGGAACTTGTACGCCAGCTTGAAGTCGAAGTTGTACCCGATGCCCTGGCGAACAAGAACGGTTTTCTTTTTCGTTACGAATGATCGTTCGATTGCCACAGGATCAAACAAGGAAGATACACAAAAGAAGCCAGACAAAGTCACAAAAACATAAAGTACTGCAAAAAAAGGAATTTATACAAAACAAAAAAATACAGAGGATATACATATTTACAAGAAAGAGGATTTTTTTCTTTGTGCGTTTACAAGAGAATATACGCGTGAATGGTGAATAGCGATTGGCAAAATAGCGACTGGTGAAGATCGTTTCACGAAGAGCGATTGGCGATGAGTGAATGGCGAAGAGCGATTGGCACAGAGCGAGTAATGAAGAGCGATTGGCAAAGAGTGAAGTGGCGATGGGAAATTGACAAATTGGCGTGGAAGAGTGGAGTGGCGATTAGGGAATAGAGTTTGGTGACGGTCGATGGAGTAAATAGCGATGATTTAAGAGATATTCGTGAAAAGCGGCAGACGATAGACAATGGGCGAAACACGATGAGTGAAGATGTATTAGCGATAGGTGGCGAGAGAAGGTTGATGTGGAAAGGGCGCTGGGCGGCGGGTATCCGCTGGCGCCCTCCGGGCCGCAACGGGAAGAGCATTGCCTGGCGGCAGGAGGGGAGGGAGCGGCAGAGCTGGGAAACAAGCAGCTGGAGGATCTGCGCCGCGGCAGACGAGCATATGGACGAGTTAAAGAGGACCAACGGGAGAGCACAACCATGGGAGAGTGAATCAGTGAGAGGAGGAGATATGAGGATTAATGAAAATGATTGAGAGATTTTACGAAATGTTTAAAATAGAGATAATGAGAAAGCAAGTGATGAGAGAATAAATGACAAGGAGAAATAAAGTAGAAAAGGTAAATGTATAAGGGAAAGAAAGAAGTGGGAGGAAAGAAAATGGAAGATAAGGCGGAAAAATAAGGAAACGTTTATGACATCAAATAATTGAGTAAGGAATCAAGTGAGCGAGAAGGGAGATTCGGGACTGAATTGAGAGAGGGCGAAGGACGTATATGGATAATTTACATCGATATAACTTACATCGATAAATCATAATGAGTAATGAACATTCGAACATAAAGAACTGGATACATTGCATATGAATAGTTTTAAGCAGGGAGTCATGCACATGAGTGCGGTAGTGGACAAGCAACGGAAGTATTTCATGAAGAAATATGATGTGCAAAATTGTATAAAAATAAGGGAATGTGATGTGAGAATTAGAAGTGGCTAGAAAGAAACGAAAAATAAATATGCCTTATAAAATGTTCAGAAACACTGGCTATTCACAAACATATTTCATGGTTCTACTGGTAATACTTTTTGAATAGATAAACAGCGAGATGAGAGAGAAAGAGAAAGAGAGAGATAGAGGGAAGAGAGAGAAAGAGGAGGCAGGGCAGTGATCATGATAGCAGGAAACTATCGATAGGAGAGCGAGAGGAAACGAATGGTGGAAGGGCCAACCAGAGGGATAATAAACGAAAGTAATAAGGAAGAAGGAAGCTGATAACGAGATTCGACATCAGCCGTCACACGGGACGCAACGCCGAACCAACCTGTATGTAACTGCGGGCGCGCGTGGAGTGTATGGCTCAGCAAAGCCCATAGCAGAGGCATCGAGTGTAATGCACGCCCGGAAAGGGGTGGGTGGGACGGTGAAAGAGAGAGAGGGGTGGGATAGAGCGGCGGGGAAGGGGAAGGGGTGGGACCGGCAGGGGACGGTGTTGGGCGGGGCGAACCGGGTCGGGCAGACGGGTAGCGGAACAGGGTGGTGCGGGCAGGGTGGGGAGAGCAGAACGGGCAGGGCGTGGGCCGGGGCTTGACGTGTTCGCGACGAGGCTCTAGTGATTTGCACCCCGTGCTCATCGCGAACGGAATGCGTAATATTTATCCGCGAGGAGCCCTCCGCATCTCTCTCTCACTTCCTCCCACTAACTCCTGCTTTCCTTCCTCTCTCTCTATCTCTGTCTGTCGATTTCCCCTCCACCCCAGCGCCCGTCAGTGTCGAAGCCGACTCCCCCGCCCTCTCCCCTTTCGCCCGCTCGTGAATTTAATGGCTGCACGATTGAAATTCTGTTGGCACGCCTGATCAGCGCGGCCCCCTGCTCGCGCCCCGCTTCCGCCCTTCCCCGCCCTCTCGGTTCCGGTCCGCAGCGATGAGGGCCCCACCACCCTCCCTCTCCGCCCAGTCCCGTCCGCCCTGCGCCCCTCCGCCCACCCCGATTATCCGCCCTTTGTGCAGCGATAATGTCCGCTTCGGAATTGTGCGATTGTTGGAGACGCGGGAAAAAGTTGAAATTTAAAGAGCGGCACAATGCGCGCGGCCTCTTGCGCTGCCGGGCGGAGGGGGAGGGGTAAGTAGCGGGGAGGGGAGGAAAAGGGCCCGCCGATCGAAGAGGCGAGGGTGGATCCTGGAAAGTGAAGGCTGCGCGAGGAGGGAATTGAAGATGCTTGATACCAAGAAACGACTCACCAAACGAAAGAAGTATGTATTTGTAATAAAGTATAAAAATATTAAGAAAGTGATAAATTAATAATAAATCGATTATAAAAATAATTGTGCAACTAGGATGTAACTTAAAAAAGTGATTCCTCTGTACACTCAGTTAAATCCTGCAGTTATACAAATTCTCTAGCAGGAAGCATTCAAGTAACATGAATATCTAATAATGACTTTAATTGTATTTGCTGTACAGTTAATATTTGATATAAAGAAATTGAAAATCAAGTGAAATATTCAGTCTAGAAGCGACCAAATGGGAGACAAAAAATTGTACTGAGTACTGCACCACTTGCTCACTACATTTGAACAATTGGATAATAGTAACAACAGAAGGAAAGAGGCAGGCTGACCGGCAGAGACAGTGGAAGAGAAAGAGAGAGAAAAGTATGGTAATACAAAAGAAGTGTTTTTTCTAAATCGTAGTTCATCAAAATAATACATATATACAGTTTTATAATACTCTAATGGATTTTTCCGGTCTTGAAATATCTTCCAGTTTTTATTTAAAACATGTTCATTATAATGTGCAACTTAAAACTGAACACATTCACCATGATACATTTAAAAAAGTCATAAATGTCAAAATGTTTAAAAAATAGTTTTCATGTTGCATCATCTAAAATATCAAGATTCTTTAGATTTGCTTTATCAAGATGGTTTTTATAAAACAATATTTATGTATTTATTATTCTGTTAGGGTTTACATTTCCTTCTTTTATTAACACAAATTCTTGTAGTACATAATACACCATTAAGCCACATTAAATAACTATAAAGGCACTCATTCACTTTGTTCACATTATTATTATATGAAGTCAACCATTCATCACATCAATTTATTAATTGCCTAAATTAATTTCTTAACATTAAAAAAATGGGTGATTCAAAGGATCTTAAATTTTCGATTCAATGCAAAGAAAAATAATTGTGTGACAATGAAATCATACAATTCAACATGGATCAAATCTACCGATCCGATATTGATCAATTAAGATCAACAAATATCATTATTCAGAATGCAAAAATACTCCCCATTGATCTATTTGAATATTTTTTGGTTGAGTTTTGTAATTTATATTATATCGTGTTTAACTGAGGTCGTTTCATTTCTTGTACTGAAAAAGAGAAAGATTTTATAATAAACAAAAAAGACTAAGTCAAAATCTGGAGTAGACGGAAGCGTATGATAAAATATTACAGAGAATAAACACATTCAGAGGCGAGGTGAAACAGATTCCGACGGCTAGCAAGGGTGGGGAGAAATACAACTCGGAAAGAAGAGTTATAGGCGTAATAAAGACAATGGCTCTGTTTATTTAGATAGCTCAGATTCGTTTGCGTGAAGGAGCTATTATCAATCTCAAGGGGCTATATCCGAGATATAAATGCATGCAAGATATAGATGCACGCAATTCCACCGGTAGTGCAATAGAACGAATCACGAACTGTTTTTTCGTGCAGGAAGAATAGAATCAATTGACGTGAATCGCAGAGCATCCTACGTATACTGGAAACTACGTACATCCTTTATATATTATATTTCATATGAAAGGATAACTTAAATTGAAAGAAAATGGAATATATTTCAAGTTTTATTCGTCTGATGTGTCTTTAATTCCTGCCTCTGTGCCCTCATGGGTTATTCACTTTCATTGAAGGTTATTACCTTTTTATTTTGAGAGAGAAAATTTTAAATCCAATATACAATAGCAGACAAATTTGCAAATTATGTCCAGTGCTAGATGAACTTAAACAAAAGTTCAAATAAATCTGAGATTTTAAACACCTCCGAGATAATTAATATATATTTTATGTTTTCGTTGTTGAGAGCCGGCTAAGATTCACCGGCGTAAATTAAATTTGCTACTTCTACAATCACGTTTACTTTTCCATATAGTATTACTTTCTCTCTACCTGGTAGTGGTATTAAGTTTGAGTTATAATATACATGAGTTTGGAGTTTGCAATGCATGTAGTTGAAGTTTGGTTTTAAAATAAATAATAGTTGAAGTGTGGAACGTATAATAATTTAAGGACTGTTTATATTATTATTTTTTGTTTTAATAATAGTTTAAGTTAAAATAAATAACTGTTTATGTTAGGATTTAAAATTAATGATTGTTTTAGTTTGATCTGAAAACTAATAGTTGTAGTTTTAAGTTCTTAAATAAAATAATTAAAAGTTAACATAAATAATTGATAAAGTTCGAACGTAAAATTAATAATTGTTGAAGTTTGTGTTGAAAAAGTAATAGTTGAAATAAATATTGGGTTTAATAAATAATCGTTGCAATAAATAGTGGTCAGAATAAAAAGTAGTTGAAATAAATCATAGTTGAAATTAATGATAGTTGAGATAAGTAATGGCTGAAATAAATCGTAGTCGAAGTTGGAAATAAGTAACAAATGAAGTTAGAAAAAGGGTTGAGGCTGACCTGCTCGGAGAGGCGGTAGAGCTGCAGCGTGAGGTTGAGGGAGCGCGTCTCGCTGTAGTAGACGGTGTAGCCCCAGGCGCTGCCGCACCACTGGCCGCCGGTGTCGGGGCGGCCGCCCTCGCGGATGGTCATGTGGCCGTCGGGGCAGCCCTCCGACGTGAACGACACGAACTTGCCCACGGTGAACGTGTCGAACGTCAGCTGCGAACACACGAGCGGCGCCCGGCCGTCAGCACAGCCGTCAGCGACACGGGGCCCGGCCCGGCCAGCGGATTCGGGGAAGGCGTTCCGCAAGGGCACTGTTGCGGTTGGAGTCATGGAGGCGGAGGCAAGTAAGTAACATGGCATCTTTTGGAGATGGCCAAATTATGATACTAAATATTTTCTTATCACTAAACGAGTTAGAGTATGTTCAGACAAGCGCCTGAGAAAAGTAATGGTTGAAAATGTAATGTCTGTTAATCATTCTTGAAAGGTATGTATAGTGTTATGTGGTATAAACAGACACGATCAGTACCTAAGGAACCAATTGTTTGCTGAAATAAGTGGACAAATCTACACGTATTCATGCATGAATATGCTCCGTGACATAATAGGAAAAAAATCGACAAATCGGCATGGAAAATATCGACATTGATCATTATGTGCTCCAATGACCTGCAAGTAGCTGTTGAAATGAAAACAAAGAATATGTTAAATCTAGTAAAGATAAAAGAAACTGAAGAAAATAAAGGCATAAAATTAGCTCATAAAAAAGTCATTCGCATCTGGAAAAATGACACTGAAATTGAATGAATGAATTAAAATAGTTCGACAAGAATCAAAACAAATATGTTAATTATCAATAAAATCACTTTTCTAAAACGTAAGAAAACTCTACACACAGTTTGTTGTCAAGGCCAATTGTCACAAATACATTTTTGTCCCAATAACACTAGAGTAATAATTTGTCCATCTCTTTAAGTCAATGTTTCATGCAAATAAAGAATCGCAATGTCAGGCAAGTGTGGAATAATATATTGGTAAAATGTGTAACAATACGATCAGTGTAGTTTTGAACGATGATGGAACACCTTCTAAACATATTTTGTATTATAGTTGCCACTTCTCGATGAGAAAGTATTCTTCGACACATCCCTGGCCCGAATTTTCATTCATTTGAGCATTCGACTGTTATCCCCGCACATGAAATTTCATTAAAGCTTGCGCGAGCTGTTGCCGCGCGCAATGAAAAATCCCGCGGCATTCAAGCCACGTTTTGTACAGGCAGCAACAGCGACGCCACAGCCCGTAGAGCGCATTCATCACGTTAGCTGCGGCTTTGCAAGCCATTGGCGGGCGGGCGGGGCGGGACTTGCGTGAGTTCGGGGCGGCGGGCGGGGGTTTTTGTGGGCGGTGTTGCGGACGGGCTGGGGCCAACTGGCGTGCGCGGACCCAGTGCCCTTCCGGGTCCGGCCCCGAAAAACCTGCACCCTCCGCTCGCCCATCCCTCTTCCCGTCCGCCCGCCTCGTCCTGCCTCTTCCGTCCCGCCTCACTCCGTCCCAAAATATACCAGCTTGCCCTATCCCACCCTGCTTTTTCTCGCCTCGCCCCACCCTACCCTGTTCCCGCACGTCCACCATCCGGACCGCCCCATACCGTCCGGTTTTACCCCGATCCACACCTTCGCTTTGCTCACCCCACACCGTCCCGGCTTGCCCTACCATGCTCTAATCCGCATGGCTTTGCCCCACGTACACTTTTCCGCCTCGACCCGCCTCGTCTCGCCCCACATCATCCCGGGTCGCCCAGCCTCGATCCATTCCACAATATTTTAACTTGGCCTATTCTGCTTTGCCTCGTCTCGCCAATCCTACTGTGATCCGCCTCGTCCATTGTTCGTCCCGCCTCACACCATATCACCTCTTCCCACCCCACACCGTTCCAGCTTGCCCTGCCACGCTTTACTCCGTATAGCCTCGTTCTGACTCTGCCCACACCGTTCCAGCTCGACCAGCTTCACACAATCCCACCTCACTCCCCATGGACTCACCTGAACCCGCCTATTCAGTGCGAAAATAATGATAATGACATGTGAAACATTTTGTGCTAAGCATGGTGATGATGAGGGGTATGATCGCGATGAGGCGGAATGCAAGGATTGCTAGACATCGTTGATCTATTAGGATATATGATGTTGCTTGCTTGGATACCAAAGAAACAGTTTAGAGGTGAAAGGGCTGCGCATCCATAACATTCCCTCTAGTTACCGAAATACGAATTGGTGGCTTAGAATCTTCTGGCTAAATAGTCCACAAAAGACTGGCAAGTACGTCAACTAGTAAATTATGATCATTACTCAGAACTGGCAAATTATTGTCATATTCTGGGCTTAGGGAACTTTTACATAAACGTTTTGTATAGTATATTTTGTCTTTAAGTATCAGTAGGCAGTGCATTTTCTCTCCTTACGTAACATACCATTTATTTTGTAAAGGTTAAACCCAAAACTTTGGCACTCGATCTATATGTCATAAATAACTGTAACTCACATAACCACTTATGTTTAGATCACTTATTCAAATATTGTCTCACACTCTATTTACCACCTTCCTCCGGCTCTCTTAACTTTACCGCTACCAAAGCCCCCACAGCCAATGCCATCATGGCTCTCAGTTCCAACCTTTCACCCCCATCATTCCACCCTCACAGCCTCCTACTCCAAACACTAACACAATCATGAGTCTCAGACACACCTTTCCTCCCACTAACCCACCAGCACTAACACAGAACGTTCCCACTATCACACCCACCACCACAATCATCAGTAGCGTCTCCACCACCACTACCATCCCTAAACCAAATATTTCCACCACCACCAACACATACACTTGAACCGTCACCACTCTCACGAAACAAAGGCTCCCACCAACACCGACATCACCAACACAAATACTGCCACAACTAACACCAACACTTGAACCATCACCCCACAAACGCTGCCTCCAACGATCCCCCCCACACACACACATGCCGCCGCCACCGCCACCACCGCCACCACCGCCGCCACCGCCGCACGCCTATGCGCTTTTGTTGATGAATCGATTGATCGCGGCGGTGGCGGAGGCGGCGCGAAAAATTTATCGGGCCGCCGGCGCCGCGGAGCGCGGAGGCGCGCGTGTTTGCGTGAGCGGGCGGCGCGGCGCGCGCTGTCGGCGATGCGGGGCTCTTTAGCGCGACACGATGTATCGCCGTCGTTTGTCACCCGAATCGCGCCCCTGCTCCCCCCCCCCACCGCGCTCCGCCTCAGTCAGTGCCGCCGGCCCCATGCTACCCCAAGTTTACGGGCGGCGCCAATACTCGCGCCGGATCGTCGCCTCGCTGTGTGCGCTCATGGTGGTGGTGGTTGCGGTGCTGATGTTGGTATGGTGGTGGTCGTGGTGCTGATGTTGGTATGGTGATGGTAGTGGTGGTGGTGGTGGTGGAGAGTTGTCGCTGCTGCCTGCTCAATCCGTTCCCTGTCCTTTCAATGCAGACCACAGACACATTTCTACGCCCTGTCTCTGTTGTGGTTGTAATATGCGCTTCTATCTGTTGGAGTTGTAAGATGCAGTTCTAACAGTGCAACCCTAGAGCAGATTGTGATGAATAAAAAACATTTTTGCCTACGCAAGAGGTGTAATATTATGGGAATATCATATAAGTGGAAAAGATTTGATGAAAATTCTTTAATTTGGAGAAATACCAGAAATATTAGAGGAAAATGGAAAAGTTTTTGATGGTGAAAAATCTTTAATTTTGAGGAAATACCAGAGACAGCATGTAGTGGGAGAGAATAACCTTCACAGAGAACTATACCACGTCGGAGGAATTCTACTGTCGGTATTGCAGAGTTATTTTCATATTTATTAGTATGATTTTACATTTCTTACTACAATATTTCAATATCAGACATTTCTTAATTATTTACAATAATCGGTGGTTTCCTTGGCATACCATAGTGTATTACAAGAAAATATTTATACACTTTTTATATGATTGTTTTTTATTGCGATTTTTTTTTTATTTTTGATATTTATATTCATTTTTCAGTCACATCCAACTTCACCGACCCCTTTCTCTCCCAGTTATTGCAAATGGAGTTCACATGTTGAGAAAAATATAGTTATGAATTTTTTGGATAAGTAGATAATGTGCAAGTTGTTACAAAAAGCCAAATAGATAAATCGTAATATCATAGGTTGCCATTCATCTTTTTCACCTATTCCAAACATTAACACAATAGAAGAGTTTAATTTGAAAGTGAAGTGTTTCCGAAAAAATTTCAGGAACGGAAATTATTAAAATTCTGCCACAAAAGTAGAATTTAACGGCTGAAAATCCGAATAAGGTTTAACAACCCAATAAGGGCATTTTTGAACTCAATAATTTGTAGTATATTAAAACTAGAAAATAAACAGAAATGGAGAAACATCATTTAGCGAGTAATTTAGCATATCGCATTCTTCAGTGCTTGGTAATACCTGTCTAACCCTGACACTATATCCCATGTTGAGAGCATAGAGCTTTCGTCGCGGAAGGCTGGTTTCCACAGGTGGGAGACCCCTAGTTGGGGAAAACTCTCGCAGGTCGATGTCTTGCCATCCAACGGGGAATCACCGCCACCTCCCGTGATAAATCATACATTACACGTACGGTACTAATGACCTTAGAATTTGACGTATCCGCAAACACGAAATAAGAAATCAATCAACCCAAGCGCCGAACCTTGGGGCAAAGAGCGTTCCCCAAACCCCCATTCCGCCCCAGCTTCTACCCCAAACAGCCACCGCGGGTCGTTGCGCGCATCCGCGCTCGGCTTACTGGCCGTATCGCGACGCCGACCGAACGCCCAACTCCGCGCGGTGGTCGCATCGAATCGCGGTGCGCGGGGGAGGGGGGGGAGGGCGCGAGTGATTTTTGGCGTATTTGCATGCGCTCCTCTGCAGCTACAGCGGGCGCCGCGCCGCCCTGCGGTTTGTCATCGCACTAACGCGCCCCCGGCGGCGGTTCGGCGCCCGCACGCGCAAACACAGAGCAGCCGCTGCGCGTTTTTAACGCCGCTGTCGTTGCGACTTTGGCGCCAGAGAACGCACACGAGCCGGCAGGCGCTCTAGGACGCGTTAGGGCTGCTGCCGCTGCGGGGAACTGGGTTTGGGGTGCGTTGTGTCTGAATCACGCACAGAACCTCGAAATGCATAATATTGAAACTAGTTTATAATGTTGAAGCATTCTGCAGAAGTCAAATCTATTCGAAAATGACCAAACAATAAGAACTTTTACTAAACTTTCTTGAACAATAACAATTACATTC